GATGCAGACGGCTGGCCTCCCTTGCCTGGCATCGATGTTGCAACCATCAGGGAGGTGATTCTCACATTTCCCAAGAAGACCTCCGCGGGCCCATGTGTGCTCCATCCACGCCTGCTGTGGCACCTGTCTGATGAGGCTCTGGAGGTGCTGGTCGGTTTCTTTCGGCGATGCGAGGAGTTGCAAACTTGGCCTGCAGAGAGGTTCTGGTCGATGGCGTGTCGCATTCCGAAGGCTGATGAAGGTCATCGCTTGATTGCAGTAGCGCACGCAGTCCAGCGCATATGAGGTCGAGCCAGGCGAGAAATATCCCGATCTTGGGAGGGGCGGAATCGCTGTGAGAATGTCTGGGGCAATCGGGCCCGCAGTGCCTTCAGCCACAACTTGGAGTCGGAGATTGCGGTTTTGCGAGGACACTTCAGCGCTACAGTATTGTTGGATCTCACCAAGGCTTTCGACCTGGTAGGCTATCGCAGTTGTTTCGCGAAGGCCTCGTGCTGGGCTATCCACCTCGGACGTTGTTCATGTTAATCCAGATGTACCGCCAGCCTAGACGACTCAAAGGCTATGGCACTTTCTCTGATCCGCTGCAGGTGGAACAGGGAATTCTGGCGGGCTGCACACACGCGGTTTGCATGCTGGAGGTGCTGACATTGCGAGCCCTGCTTCGGGTGCGTGAGGTACATGGAGCTTTGGTGCCTCGTGCTCTTGTTGATGATGTCTCTGTGCAATATGTTGGCCCTGACTCTGCAGGTGTACGTGCTCTTGACGTTGCAGTTCGGCAAGACGAGTCGAGGGTGCTCGGCTCCTGCTTCAACGATAAGAAGTCAGGGATGGTCGCGGCCACACCCTCGTCGCGCAGGCTCATCCGGGGCTCGAAGTTCCAGCAGCGGCCTTGGATGAGGAACTTGGGCCACGAGACTATGGGGGCACGGCCGCTACGGTTGCAGGAGAAGGCGCGCTTGCGGGAACTGCAGAGGAGGCGGTGCAGGCTCCACATCTTTCGGCAGGTTGCTGGACGCAAGAACTCTGTGCTGTGGCGGGCTGGTGCTCAACCAGCCGTTGCTCATGGCGCAGGCGTGTCTGGAATAAATGATGCTGCCCTGGCCGTGGCAAGGTCCGTGGCTGCCACTATGGTTGGGGCGCCGCCGCAGGCGCACAAGACGGCATACCTGTATTGTCAGTGGCAGGTGCGGCATGATCCTATTTTTGATGCGACGACTGACCTTCTTTGTAGGCTGCACTGTTTTATCTGGGACAACCGAGTCTCGCTCAATTCGCTGCGGCATGCATGGTCAAGGTTGGCGGCGCGTGCGAGCTCAACAGGCTTCACCTGGGCTGCAGTACGAGGGCCACTAGGTGCCGCCTGGCTGACGCTGGGCCGTATCGGCTGGGCATTCATTGGCCCTCATCACTGGCGGGGCGATCAGTTTCATGATTAGGATTTGCTCCGTGCGGCCCCTGCGGACATGAAGGTGCATTTGGAGGAATCCATCAGGCGCTGGCAGGTGCAGAGGTTGACGTACCATCTGCCGGCGCAGGAGGCGACTCATGATGTTTGGGAGCGTGCACTTCGTCTTGGCCTTCGTGTTTTGAGGCCGGCGCAGCTCGGAGCGCTGCGCGGGCTGTGGGCCGACCGCTACCCCGCGCCTACGCGCCTCGCCGCCTGGGGCAAGAACATTCGCCCACACTGCGCTGTCTGTCAATCGAATGACGGATCCTACGGGCACGTGTGGAGCGATTGTCCTGCTCTGCTGCACCCCGACGAGAGCGAACTGGCGGGAGGTTTCGAGGTTCTCTGTGAAAGACACGGTTCTCATCGGGATGCTCTGCGAGCTATTGGACACCGCCCCCTGACGGATCCCGACTTTGAAAGCCTGTAGTTGAGCTATGGTATCCCGAAACTGCCTATCCAGCTTCCGTCCCCACCTGATGTCTCTGAGGTCTTGGAGGGGGGGGGGGCGTTGGGGGTGATTGGGGTCCTGTGATCTTTGGGGATGGAAGCACCCAGAGCCCAGTGGTGCCCGAAGTTAAGCGTGCAGGGTGGGCAATCGTTCAGTTCAACGAGGAGCTCCTTCCTGTTCGGGCGGTATATGGGTCCCTGGAGGGGGCTGTACAGACTGCAAGCAGAGCTGAGAGAACCGCACTTCTGCAGGCAATGAAAAGGCACCCGGCCTTGCAGGTTGTTGTTTCTGACTTGGTGTCCCTGGCCCAAGAGGGCCAATATCCTGGGATCCTGAGCTGGCTTGCGGCATGGAAAAATATGCTGCTATCTGGAGAAGTTTTTCTTTTCGCAGGCCACACGCAGGCCCCCTGAGTACCCTCCTCCCACCTTCGTTTGGGCCCCCGCTCACCTCACCTTGGAGCAGGTCCTAGAAAAAAGGTTGGATCCGATCACTTGGATCGGCAACGCATGGGCCGATATGTTTGCGAAGTTGGCTTCGGCCCGTGTCATGATCGCTCGGGTGACGGCGGAGGCGGTTGCGGGGGAGCTTAAGTTTCATCGTTCCACTATCGAGTACATCTCTTGGGCTGCTGCCAGGTTTGCGAGGCTAAGGCGGAGGACGGACTTCCAGCCTCCTCCGAGCGTCGCTCGGCAGCAGCCCCCGCCCAGGCTCAGTCTTCACGGGCACACCTTTTATCTCGATGAGGCCTCGGGCGAAGTACGTTGCGTGTCATGCTTTGCTGGGGCGTGGACCCCCAGCACGCTGATTCATTTGTGTAGCGGCCCCCCAAGTTTTGCCGACCCACCGCCCTCACGGCCTTGAAGGGCCAGGAGTGGCGTCGTGTTCGTATTCGGGCGAGGCCTGTGAAGGCTGCTGCGGTGGCTGATGCAGACCAGGCCCTTGTGGATGCTGGCCTGCTCACGCCACTTCCCACTCCTGGAAACTCCGCAGGGGACGAGGGTGAGGCGGCCATTCGTGAATTTGCTGAGCGTGGTCACGCGATTGAAAGGTACGGTCGTGTGTTGATCTGCTCTCTCTGTGTGCTGGTGTTGTGCTGCTTCCGCATGGCGTTCCGCGGTCGTTCCAGGCCAAATGTCAGGGGGCGTCCAAAGTGCCGTCTACGAGGGACAAGCAGCTGCGGAAGCTCTCGAAGGCCTCGACAGGACTCCATCCGACCACGGGTGAGTGCCTCGAGGAGCCTCGTCCAGCTACTCCCTCTTCGCTGACTCCTCCCTGCCCATCTCACTGCCTTGTGCCGAGGGCCCCCCGTGCGGAGGAGGCCACGTCGTCGGGGGCGGGGGAGGCGCTGGTGGAGCGGGCGGGGGGGGTCTCGCGGCGGATGGGGAGTTCTGATGATTCTGACTAATTAATGACATCGGCCATGACGACGGGTTTCCGTGGTCTCGGCCGACGCCGCTGCCGCCATTGGTGGCAGCCATCGCCTCAGCCTGTGGGCGTCCGTTACCCTGCGGACGCCTCCCAGTCGGCGCCCACCTCTTCTTCCTCCTCCTCTTCTTCCTCCTTCTCATCTGGTTCCTCCTCCATCCCCCCCTCTTCGGGTACAACACCTTCCCAGCCTTGATTCCACCGCGTGCTACCCCACATGCCTGATTATGGCAACTCGCTTGGGCATCGTTTCTGGATGGTCTGGTGGGGTTACGCGAAGCATCTAGAAATGAGCGCAAGCAGACATAGCGAGAAAGAAGAGAGAGAGAGAGAGAGGACGAGGGTGGTGGTTGTGGGGGGGAACAAGAGCGAGAGAGAGAGAGAGGGAGAGAGAGCGAGAGAGAGAGAGAGAGAAGGAGAAAGAGAGAGAGAGAGAGAAAGAAAGAGAGAGAGAGAGAGAGACAGGCATAAACGGGAAACGCGTGTGGGGTTCTTCGGCCTGACAAAACCAGCCGCAACGCGGGTAGGAGAAGGGGGGGTACGAAGATAATGAAAGAGACGAGAAGGGCGGGAACGAGAGCAGGATATACACGGGACTGCACTCTTATGTGTATGTGTATATATATGTACATATATACATATATAGATATACGCACCCTGTACGACCACCCGTCGGGTGAAAAGGGGGGTGGGGCGGTTGGGGGGAAGAACCAGCAGCTGGCAAATGCGATGGGTGTGATGATGATGCTGGTGACGCGCCCTCGAGTTGGCGACGACGCGTGGTGATGATGATACGCTGCGATATAATGTCACTATCGTTCTCAATATCGATCTCGGTTTCGATCTATCGATGTGATTATCGATCTCACTATCAATTCCTCTATAGATCCGCCGATCGATATCACGATCGATCTCACAACCAACGTCACAATCAACCTCACTGTCGTTCTAACTGTTGATCTCTCTATCCACACCATTTTACCGACCTCCTCATTATCAATCTCACTATCGACTTCACTTTCGATACCAAGGCGGGACACCCACGGCCACCGCTGACGGAACACCGACGGGACACCAACGGGACACCACGGCGGGACACCCCGGGGCCACCGCGCGCCCACGGGGGGCGGAGGGGCGGTCCACTGCATCCGGATCGCCCTAGCGACGGCGATGTCATTCCTCTAGCGCGCCCACGCAACTTCGCCTCGCACACGCGCACAACACGGCTACGAAGCCGAAACCGAGTTCCCGGTGGGGGGCTCTCCGTTCCAGTGCGATCTAAGCCCCCACCCTCCGATAGAGAGAGGGAGAGAGAGAGAGTGAGAGAGCTTACCAAAGATGAATGTACAGAACGCGACACATAGATCAGCTAGCAAGCACTGCTTCTACAATTGGCTGCATAACCTCCTGCGGGAGGCAGGCGAAGCAACGATGGGTCGGTGGTGGTGGAAGAACGTGAGAGCCAACCACCTCAGCAAGCCGGCCAAGAAAGCCGAATAGAGCTGGGAGGCAAAGGAGGAGAGGGAATGAGAAGAGGAGGGACAAGATGGAGATGAGGAGGATGGAGATGAGGTAGACGAGGAGCATGGGGGTGAAGCCTTCATGCTCCCTCCACCCGCTCCTCCCCTCCCCGTCCTCCACCCCCCTCCATCCGCCCCCTCCCACAGGCGCCTTGGCCAAGCAAATCCAATCCCCACTTGTCGTCGGCGCTCTTCTTCACCAGCTTGACAGAAAAATCCTTGGACTCGAAGTCCTCCTGGGTGGAGGGGGGTGCAGAGGCAAGACCATCACGTCACCGAAGACGGTCCAAACTGGCGCCTGGCATGGCGCCCGCCTGTGGGTGAACAGCCGGAGCAGAGGCAGGAAGGAAGCGAGGCAGAGGGAGCGGAGGCGAGGAATGAGGACGAGATGCAGAGAGAGCGGAGGACAGGACAGGACGTCCGCATGAGGGGGTCAACGTCAATGTGCCCGCTAAGGTGCAGTGGAGAGCATATGCGTAATACCCCTGCGTGAGTGTTACGCAGCAAAGACTCGACCGCCCTTCGACATCTTATCGAGGGAACTGCCACGGCCTGCGCAGAGGCGTGCGCAGAGAGCAGAGGGACACGAGGGAGGCGGAACATACAGCCTCGAGGGAGCCGAGCAGAAAGACGCTGGAGGCTGATCCGGCGTCCGTCGCACCGTGGGGCAAGACAAAGAGAACGAGAAACTGGCGAGCGCAAGCCCAGACGATCCCACCGCCGGGTCAACGGCATCAGCCAACGACTTACTTCCGATATACGGTGCAAGCTGGGCGCGCATGCGTCAGGATGTAAACAATCCCGTCGGAAACTACGACTCACCCGCAGCCCGCCGCGCGGTTCGCCCGACGGCAATAAATTCGCGACCAAATCATGCTGTTTAGAAAAAGAAAAGTCGATACCCGCGGCTGGCAATCATACATTTGCTCTTGGGAAAATCATTGTGCATCCCAACCGCGGTGCCTCCTCACTCTGATCCGTGACTTCGAGGGCTACGTGCTTATCGATATACACATGTGTACGCAAGCTCAGATATAGCATGATTCGCGCTTGCATCCTGTACTAGATGGATGTGTGTACGCACGGAAGCTCATGTTCAAACATGCGCACGCGCGCAGATCTAGAAACTCACCGCGCACATACAGGCACCCGAATGCTGCATCGATCGCCAACACCATCACGAACACCGACGTCACCGACCTTACCCTCGACAGCACCAATAGCGTGAAACCCTACGTCATCGACATCAACCTCGACATCACCAGTGCTGGCAATAGCGGTGGGCATCGTGGCAACCAACTGCGCACACATAAATTTGTATTCCGATGTTGGTTCGCGTGGCGAGTGGATTCCACTCTGCTTATGGCTTCGCCATGGGGGCGGAATGTATGTAGTGTGAGCTATGTGATGTAAGCTACCGGGTGCGAGCAAGGGGAGCGACAGCTACGCGCTGTAATATTCCAAGCCGTCAGGGATACTTCAGGAATCCGTAAGGATCCAAAGGAATCCCCCAAGGATCTTTCAGGACTCCGCAAAAATCCGAACGAACTCCCGAAACCAATAGAAATCCTCGAGAATCCTTCAGGCATCTTTCCGGAATCCGCAAAACTCTTTCAAACCCCTCGAGGATCCCTCAGGAATCCGCCAGAACACTTCAGGAAACCTTCATGAATCCTCTGGAATGCATAGACTCCCTGAGGAATCCTGAAGAGTTCTTCAAGGATCCTTCGAGGGTCCTTCAGGAATCCGCAAAAACCCTCAAGACCCCTCAAGAATCTCCGAGAATCCTTTGTAGGAATCCTTCAAGGATTCTTCAATAATGCCTCCAGAACCCTTACAAAGAGTCCACAGAAAACTTCGAGAATCCTAAAAGGAATCCTTCAGGAAGCAGCAAGAATCATCAAAAACCCTGACGCACCCTTCAGAAATCCTCGAGAATCGTTCCGGAATCCAACAAGAATCCCCCAGAACCCTTGCACCCGTCAGGTCCCCTCAGGAATCCTTCAGGAAACCACAAGAATCCTGCAAATCCAAGGAAGCTGAAGCAAACGTTCCTGGATGCACTCTGGTGTTCGCCTCGTAAGAATACAAAAAAAGCCTACACGTTGCGATCAGTCCGCTTCCTGTGGCCGTAATCGGTCCGAAGTGGTCAATGAACGGTCCGAAATGGTCGCGATCGGTCTTATCCCCCCCTGCCACCGACATGCCTCGGAATCCCTACGGGGATCCCGTTGAAAGAATACCATAGAACGGAATATGATCTCTGGAAGTTCACCGACGTCGAAGCATGTCCGCGTGGCCGAAACGAAGTTCAGGTGGGAACTCTGTCGGACCATGGTTTCCTGGCGATTGTTGACGGATGCTGTCATTTGGATTTCTTATGGTAGAACTCCTGATTGGGGATTCCCTATTATGGACTCCCTTACTCGGGCTGCCTTACAGAGGACTCCCTGTTAACTATTCGTTACCTATGATGTCTTACTACGGTTTCCTTACTGGGGGTTTCAGGGCAGCGGTTGTTGACTGAGGACTCCCTGAGGACAATTTCTGAAAGAGAGCGTATTACTCGGAATCAAAACTAAAGTTATGTCACACAAGATTCCCTGTTCAGAATTCTTTACTGAAGAGTCCTAACGGAAAAAGGGCGTAGATAAGAATTCATTGCTTTAGGATTCCCGATAAAGGATCCCTTAGTAAGGCATCATTTAACAAAGAATCCCGACTAAGGATTCACAACTTAAGATTCCTTACTCGGAATTCCTTCGTGAGCATTTTCTGCTGAAGACTCTTTATGCTGAATTCCTTTCTTAGGATTCCAAACTAAGAATTCCGCACTAAACATGCCAATTCACGAGTCCCGACTGGTACCTCTGTATCAAAGACTCCCGAACGAAAGGATCCCCCATGATTTCCAGCTCAGGATTTCTCCTCTCAAGGCTTCCCGACAAAAGACTTCCGTACAAGTGACCCCTTACTACGGATTCCCCAAGATGGATGCTTAGCAACAAGCACCCGACGAACATTTCCGACTAACTATTCCTGATAAAGAACTCCGTGCGAAGGACTGCCGACCCACAGTTCCTTATCAGGCATTCCTTATTCAGGAACCCCGGCTAAGGATTTATTGCGGGGATCTCTTACCAGGGAATCCTCAATCAGGATTCCCAAATGCGGATTCCTCTGTGACTGCTGCCTTGCCAAGGATTCCTGATCAAGGATTCCCAGCTATGGATTCCTTCCTGAATTGAAGTCGCTGAGTTTCTTGCAGAGCGGCGGGGCCACGTGCCCACATGGTCACGGTGATGATGGTGATGATGTGCGCCAGTGCCGCCGGCTGTCCGTAGCTCTGTGGGACCGCCGTAACAAGAGCAACCCGCCGAATGTCAGGGAAATTGACCTTGCCATGAAGCAGCGCCTGCGGGAACAACGTTCTTCCTGCCTTGACGACGCGGGCCCTAGTTCCTCACACCGCGTGAACTGCGTATTCTTGAACGCGAGTTAGAACCAATCGGAAACAAGAAGAAAGCCTTAGGTATTCTTCAGAAGTCCTAGAGGAAACCTCGGGCATCCTGGAGGCGCATCAGAAATGCAGAAAGAGCCTGAACAATCCTCGAACCACCCGTGGGAATGCTCTGGAATCCTGCAGGCAACATCCACGAATCTCCTGGGCATCCACGAGAACCCTTGAGGAATCCCCCCAGGAAGCCCCCGGAATCACCAGGACCCCACCAGAGTCCCTCACGACTCGTCAGGAATCCTTCTCAGGGCCTCGGGAGCCCGCAGGAATCGGGAATACTGGAGCAGACTTGTGACATCCTCAAGGACCCGCAGCAACCGCAGGAATCCCTCATGAACCTCGAGAACTTGGGGATTCCTTTAGGGATCTTCCAGGGTCCTTCTGGAAACTTCGGAATCCTGGAGGCATTCTGAAGACGTGTTCAAAGCCATGAAAAACACGCCTTGAAAACCGAAAGGAATCCTCATGGATCCGTCAGGAACCCTCAATGATCATTCAACATACTGAAGGAAATAACAGGAATCCTGCAAAGATCGTTCTGGCGTCCTCCGACAATATACTTCAGGAGTCCATCTGAGATCCCCTGAAATCCTTCACGAATCCTCAGGAACCCTCTCAGGAAACCAACGAGATCTTTTAGGAAGCCAAAGGGATCCGCAATAATCAGAAAAAGAACCGAACAAAAATGTTTCGAATCCTTGAGGCATCCTGAGAATCATCCGGAATTCCGAAGGAGCCTGTTAGGAACACTTTCCAAGAACTCTTCAGGCATCCCTTCAGAAACCGGCAGGCCTCATTCAGCGACCTTCAGAAAGCCTGCAAGAATCCGCGGAGATTCACCAGACTCCTCAACGATACTTTTGAAAATCATCGGAATTCCTGTGGGGCCTTCTGACACCAACACTCACACCGCAACAGACCCCAGGGGACCTCTCGCCCCCCTTGGGGATCTGTTGAGGTGTCGGTGTTGGTAGGGCGGTGGGGGGGGGAGACGGGCCGCCAATGCACGTGCCCATTAACAACAACAACAACAACAACAACAACAACAACAACAACAACAACAACAACAACAGCAGCAAGAACTACAACAATCAACCCTCATGCGCGATGTTTCCACACGAAGCATGCGACCTTCATGATAGCCATCCCCTATCATGGGTGACTATTGTCCTATGTTCTATAGCGGGGTCCCTTAATCCCATTCCCAGATCTCCCGCCCAATGAGGTCTATCAGACACCTCCTCCGAAGAATTCCATCGTATCCCGCCTCGAAAACGCATGCCTCGAAAACGTATCCCGCCACGCTGCGCCGATGCGAGACCGCCAGTGGAGCCCCAGCCAAGGGTAAAGCACAAGGAAGTATCGAGCGACAGGATTGCCTTGGTGGAGATGGGGACTGTCGGCGGTGAGGAGAGGACGTGGCCCTGAATAGAAAGGGAAGAAGCCTCGAGCAGGGCCGCTGTTGTTGGTGGGAGCAGCGCAAATGCTGAAGAGAGTAGGGCGCCAGTCCAGCATAAAATAAAACGAAGTCTCCAGCGGGAACGCTGGTTTTGTTGGGACGGCGGTTGTCGGCGGCGAGGAAGAACACCGCTTTGAGTAAGAAGGGAGCAAGTCTCGAGCGGGAGCCGTGGTCTTGTCGAGACGGGGGCTGTCGGCGGCGAGGAAGAGCACCGTCCTGAGGAAAAAGGAGGAAGTCTCGAGCGGGAGCGTTGTTCTTGCTGGGAGCGGCGCCAATTCAAAAGAGAGTAGGGCGCCAGTCCAGCGTAAACAGGAGGAAGTCTCTGGCGGGAGCGCTGGCTTTGTCGGGACGGCGGTTTTCGGCGGCGAGGAGGAGCACCACCTTGAGTTAAAAAAGGGAGGAAGTCTCGAGCGGAAGTTGTTGTTGCTGGGGGCGGCGCCGATGAGAGAAAGAGTAGCGCGCCAGTCCAAGGTAAAACGGGAGGAAGTCTCGAGCGGTAGCGCTGGTTTTGTTCGGACGGCGGCTTTCGGCGGCGAGCAAAAGCACGGGCCCTAAGTGAAAAAGGAGGAAGTCTCGAACGGGAGCGTTGTTATTGTTGGGGGGACCATTCTGGCGCCCCACCAATCTGCTTGAGCGTGAGCCTCATTTTGAATGAACATGTCGCCGGCGCCGAGGCGAGAGCGCCTACGCGCCTGGGGGGTCCAACAATAATAATTGATTAGTTATTAACATTCAATGACAAAGACAACAACGACACCGACAACGCAACGCAACACCAACAACAACCCGCGCAGAAAATCACATTTTAACGACGCACTCATGGACAATGAATAACCGTTCGGCGCCCTCCCTGTGATATATCGGTACATCTATATTTACACAGTTATACATTTGTGTATATATATATATACACAGAGGTGCGCACTGCCCCTCGTGCATTACACCACGTAGCTACGCATCCACAGTGCAATGAACTGCTGTGTGGGGTCCTGGCACGCAGAGACGTTCAGACTGAGCAGCTGTAGAGGTACTTGCGACCACGGTCAGGATGATGCAGCATATCGTATATAGTAGAAGGGTTTACAGCGCGAAGGGTAGCGAGGGGGGGAGAGGAGAGAGTAGAAAGGAGAAAGAAAACGGCAGAGAGAGAGGGTCGAAAGAGTAGAGACGTGTCTACACAGATCTATGTATGCACGGATGCATCCTTGCACACGTGATGACACCGCGCATGTCCAACGTCTGAATATACCCCTTTCGTCCAATAGCGTTTCCATGCGAGCCGAACCAGCGGTACCATCGCAAACAATGCACGCAACAAGTACACGTGCGTGCACGCACGAGTGCACCGCTCTATATAGATATACATATATACATACATACATATACACATATCCATAACTACGTATGTGCGTACGTACGTGTAGATGTATGTATGCGTGTATGCTTGCATAAACGCACATGGACACATGAATACATGCCAGCGTTTGCAGGGTAATGTGTTCACGCTGTAGACAGGTGGGCGCATATGGAATCCACTCGAATACGTGTATGCGTGCTCACGTGCGCGCGAAGCGTGCCACTTGTGCAATGAAAAAAGTGTGACATGCAACGGCGGGGCATGGCCATCTGCTTAAACCGTATCCAACACGAAAGTGCTGTTCAGATGTGAATGGCAACTTTGCATAGGCGCACACTACACCGTTGCAAGCACACGAAATTGCTGGCCGAACGGCCGACATATCGAGAAACCAACTGAAAACCAACCAACATGCCTGCCAAGCTCCATTACATCAAACCGCGATAGACCTATGTAAACCCTATGTGAGGTGACAATTGAAAACGAAAAAACAGAACGCGCCCAATCCTGTTCCTCCTCCATGCCGACGGGCAATGCCTGCGCAAAACATTGACGGCATGTAAATGTGAAATTCTGGCAAGCAGAGGCAACCACCCGTGCCGACTCCCTCACTGCATCATTCCTGCGCGGCAGATCGCAAACAGGGACCACATGCAAAAAAGCCTACCAGCCCTCTCGGCGAAGGCGGTCTAACGACATACCTCTCCTCTTCCAAAGCCCCTCTCCTTCGGGGAGGGGTACCATCCCCCTCCCCTACCTGAGTGTTTTTTGGGGGGGGGGGCAGGAGAGGGGCGGGTGGGCGGTCAGGGCACCCAAGATGGTCGAAGATGGTTCAGAGAGGGCCTCCGATGCTCCAAGATGGCCTCCAAGGCAGCTCAAGATAGTTGACGATGGGTCAAGACAGCTGCCGACATACCTCCAAGAGGCCCGACGAGGGCCACAAGACGGTTTCAAGTGGTCTCAAATCCTCCTCGGGATCTCCCCAAGAGGCTAACTCCCCCAGACCCCAAATGTCATGTTTTTTTCATGACGCGACCCCCAAAGGTCCGGACCGATTCCCCGGGACTGGTTTTTCATCCTGGGTCGTTTCTTGATGGTCCTGAGGCCCGGTGAGGGCCCCCGAAAACCAAAAATATGGAAAAACCTGCCGCTGGGATTTTTTCACAACGCGAGGGGGTCTGGGCCTTTCAAAGATATACGGTACATTGATGAAGTGCGCCTTCTCGCCGGTTGGCTTCCGATGCGCTCTTGAAGCCTTTCGATGAGCACACGATGGCGCAAGGGAGGCCCGCGAGGCGACCCCAGAGGGCCAACAAGAGGCGATGCTGAGGGCCCCAGACCACGGGGGGGCGGTACGGGTAATCGGGGACCCCCCCCTTTGATCGATGGCTTCCAAGATGGCCCCAGGAGGCCACTCAGCTCCCAAGAGGGTCCCAAGAGAGCCCCAATAGGGTCCCAAGACCACACAGACAGAGCCCCAAGAGGACCCCAAGACTCCCCCAAAAGAACCCCAAAAGGGCCCAATGAGTGCCCCGCCAGAGCCTCAAGAGGATCCACAGAAGGCCTCAAGACGACCCCCTGATGGCTGCCAGAGTCCTCGTCTTCGTCCTCCTCATCCTCGTCATCGTCCTCTCCTCCTCTCCTCCAAGTCATCCTCCACGTCATCATGTTCGTTCTCGTCCTCTTCGTCATTCAGCTCGTCGTCCTTACCTTCGTCCTCCTCCTTGTCCTCCTTGTCCTCCTATTCCTCGTCTTCCTTTTCCTTCTGCTCCTCCTCCGCGTCCTCTCGCCGTCGTCGTCCGTGTCGTCCTCCTCCCCCCCTCCTCCTCAGCATCATCTATTCACCATGATTGTCTGCTTCGTTTCACTATAGGTGTTCCGTCCCCCGTCTTTCCGTCAACTCTCATGGGCGACATTTCTGATGAATGGGTTGGTGGGGATACGCGAAATGTGCAGAATTTCCGGGGCAAGTCCGATGCTGGAATGACCATCGCACATGAACATCACACCAGTTTAGCGTGCTTCGCACGCCTACCTCACCTCCCGACAACGACGGGCCGCGGCGACAAGCAAAAGGGGTGTTGCAGCGCCTTTGCACCAGCTGCGAGAAGCGCGCGAATGCACTGAAGGAAAAGAGAACACCCTCGAACAAAACCTAGCTTGGCAAACGTAGCTTGTCACTGAATTCACCGTTTGAGAAATAATTTTCCGTCTTCAGCACGCATGCGAAGGATTCGCAGTCCGTTCCAAACAAGGGGATGCCCCAAGAAACCACATAGGGAACCTCACGTCCTTCGAAGCGCCCCGTCATCCCGAAAGGCCACAGGCCACAACCTGATTGTACATTCAGATGTTCTTGCATCCTGGCTCCAATTATTCACATGTCTGCCACTGCGTGGGTCTGTGACCCAAAATGTTCCCCACAACGCATCCAAGCGTCCAACACTGCTCCAAAGACGACCCGCACGAGACCCCAAACGGCCCAAACGGCATTCGAACCGGTAAAACCTCCTGCATGGGAGCGAATGGGCATGCTGCTGGCGACGAAAGCAAATGATCAACCATCATCTGCTCTCGATCCTGAGTGCTGTCGCCGTCGCCATTCCTGCCTTCCCCCGATATCCCCCGATTGCATTTCTCTGCTGTTCATCCGCGCACACGTTCATAATCTCTGTTCCTCAGCTTGCCTTCTTCCGCTTTGTCCTGCCTTGCCCACCACAATCTTCCGATGACTCATGTTTCTTCTGCCCGGCATCCCTTGAATACTATTTCGCGCAGTGTGCGTGGACAAGAATTGCAACTTCCAGGCGGCGACGGTTCGGTCTCACCTGCCCTGAGCTTGAAGAGAGCCTGTGGACATACCAGAGCCAGCATGGAATCTCAATGAAGGTCTTCTGCCTTACGTGACTTGAGCGTGCAATGTCCTCCACGACATCAGCCTCATGACTGTCAGCTTGCGATTAAAAAAAACAAGCGGGGCGCGTGATTGAACAACTGTTTCCACTGCTCGGGCGAATCGCCGAAGGGGCGCCCGCCAGTTGGAAACGCACGGCGGCGGCGCCGGTCACTAGCGCCTACGCCCGGCCGACAGGAGGGCGATAGGCGCGACCGCTTCCATGGAGGGGGACAACAGCGCCTCCGCCATAGCGGGGCGGTTGGGCCAACGGACAAAAAAGGAGGAGGCGACGACGACGACGATGACCAGCACGACGAGAACGACAACGACGACGACGACTGCACGACGACGACGATGACAAAGCGAAGACGCAGGCGACGACGACGCACTGCGGATGCCCCATGGGGTGGGGGAGGAGGGTGCTGAGCAGGCACGCCGCAGTCGACGACTGGGACCACGGACCACGGGACGACGACGACGACGACGACGACGACAGTGGCGCGTCAGTAGTCAGCCTGAGGTGTGGAAACGTTGCGCCTCGGATGTATGCGATCCATAAAAACACATTCTAGACGAGAGGTGATCGTTTTGATGCTGCCGTGCACAAGGATACACGTTCCCCTCGGCGGCACCCGCGACGACCCCCTGGCGCGCGTGATACCAACACTGTTTCACGCCCAGCGGGGTCTTTCATCAACCCCGTGGGGGGGGCATCATTTGTTGATCACAAGTTGACATTGCCACGACCACGCGTCCAAAACAGGAGGCGGCGGAGCCTGACCCGTAGAGCGCGGTCAACCAGTGAACACCATCGCCCATATCTGTTACCCAGACGCATGCAGCGGCGTGCATGAAGAGATGCGCTCTTTTGGATGCGCAGGTGCAAATACGTCGGCAAGCGCTTTGTGGATGCTTGCTGATTGCGAGGGGGGCTGCTGGGACGAATGAACTGCTCTGGGCGAAGAACTGGCATCGCCAATAAACATTTGACTGGACACTGATCAGCAGACCGAGGTAGTCCGGCCTTTAGCACTGCGGGCCCTCTCCCTGACATCGCCCAGTCGACAAACTCCGAAAAATGCACCACGCCCTCGCAGTCCTCGGCGCTGCTATTTTTCATGCGCAGCATTTTCCACCGGCCATCCGTAAACACTTATACCATATATCATGTGAGACAACATTCGTTGGTCATACCATGCTCCCCTTTTGTCTGGTTACTCAGGCGAAGCCTACTATCGTTGCTGTGGAAGCTGCTGTGGCTGAGAAAGTTACAGTGGCATCGTCCAGGGCGTTCCCTATAACTTCGAGCTTTTTGGCGGTGGACACCGTACCAACATGAGCATGGCGTCCCGCTCAGCATTAAGGAAGCAAGCAAGACAGCCTTGTGCAAACAAAACGATCCCAAAGAGACCGCAAGCAGTGTCCTCGTCCATGGCGTCCCATATAACTTTCAGCTCGTCGGCTGTAGGCGCGGAGGCAAGAATGGATGAGCAAGGCGCCCGCTTCAGCAATCAGGCCAGACATCGGACAGCTCGGCACAACATCAGGAGGCAACTCCTGGGAAGCCTTCGGGGAAAGATTTAAGGGCTCTTGAGTCCAAGGGGCCATACCGCTGGATTGAGCCCAAGATTGAGCCGAACTTAGCGGAATTGAGATGGTCACTCGATTATGCCGGAGTGGGCCAGTTCTCCACCACTGGTATGCCAGTGCCGATGCTGAACGAAACCTCCCAGGGGTTGCATCCTAAAAGATCGGCGGCGAGCCCGGGGCGGAAGTGAGCAGGGGCGGGTCTTCTCAGAAGGCTCGAAGTCCCCTGGCCTTCGGAGAAGTTTCCTGAGGCTTCCCCGAAGACACAGACGACTTCTCAGAAGGCGCGAGGGCTTCTGAGAAGTCCCGCCGCCTTCTGAGAGGCCTTCTCCTTCTCGCTTCCCTGCCTCGCTCGCCGCCGAAAAGAGGGGCGGCAGCCGACCTCTGCTCTTCCTGCCCCTGATGCTGTTGCCGGCCCTCTCTCGACACCCTCGCCCCCTGGGCAAGTTGCCACGGGAGGCTCTGGGGCCCCCGTAACGTCGGGCTGCTGAAAGAAGGAACGATCAACAAGGAACGACGCCTCTTTTTGGCCCCAGAAGCGCCTGCGTGCACGAGGGAGGCTAGAGGAAAAGCCATAGAAGGACCCAAGGAATCTCGAGCCCCCTGCTTACCCAAACTGTTCCTTATTTCAGCGACTTGGCTGTACCCGCGATGAGAAACAGCCCCCGCCACGCTTCGACAAAACTCACGACGCGGGATGTCCAGGGCCCTCCGCGACTTCCAGGCCCCCCGACGCCGCGACTCTTTCTCACGGCGGGAACCCCGGGGCGATACCTCTGCCCGGCGGCACGCGCAAAGGCCCGAGCGAGAGGGCGAACAAAACATGGGTTCCAAAAACCCTCCTCCTCCCCCTCCTCCTCCTCCTCCTCCCCCTCCTCCTCCTCCTCCTCCTCCTCCTCCTCCTCCTCCTCCTCCTCCTCCCTCCTCCCCCTCCCCCTCCTCGCCTCCTCCTCGCCTCCTCCCCCTCCTCCTCCCCCTCCTCCTCCTCCCCCTCCTCCTCGCCTCCTCCTCCTCCTCCTCCTCCTCACAATCTTCCACGGCCTCCGTCTCCGCCCACTTCGTCGCCGACGTCGTGGTCCTCTTCAGGGTCGGCGGCACCGACCGTCGGGCCTTCGCAATATGGGCTCTAAAAACATTCGGACACCCGAAATTGGTAAGGAATAGATTGCACGATGCCCATCCCATTGCGACAGAACGTCCAAAACCAACAGCGGCCGCTGCTCGGCAGGCGACCTTTTGTCTCGGACGAACAACGCCCGCACCAGCACCGATGGCGAGACCTGCTTGATCTAGAAGAAGTAGAAGAACAAAAAACGCTATAGTAAACATAAACCTTTGGCGCTCCGCGCGGATTTCTTGGATCTGTGCCGGACCCCCCTCCCTGGCGCGCTGGCGCGCGGAGCGCGCCAGGGACGGCGCCCGAGGCGCCGCCGGGGGGGCCCGGCGCGGATCCAAAGAAATCCGCTCGGAGCGCCAAGAGATTATGCTTTGGGGCGATTTTTTCCTTTCGAGAACTGCTGTCGACCTTCGGTTTCCGAAAACTTCTTCGAGGACTTCTTCGAGAACGTCTCCGAGAATTTCTTCGAGACCTGCTGTCGATCGTGCCGACAACGCGGCGAGCAACACGCCTGGTCCCGCCCCGCGCTCTGCGCGCGTCGCCCCCCACAAGCTCGGCACCGCGAGCACAGAGCACCACGCGCGGAGCACGGGGAGCGCGCGGCGCAACGGCGCGGCAGCGCCGCGGGCGGCGAGTTTAAGGTGAGCATGTCCTCCTACAGGGGGATGTTGGACGGAAAGGGAAAGGTAGTCAAAAAATACCCCCAAAATGGTCCAAAACATGTTAACAAAAACGTCCCCAGACTACTTTTTGACTATTTTTGAATCTTCCTCCTGTAGAGGGACATGCCCGATTGAAGGCGATTCGGTTGCGGCATGGAGGGGTTCGGTATGCCCGGGCGGCCCACAGTCAAAGCCCATAGTGTAAGGATGCAAGGTGGTTCCCGCTAGTTCTCATAGGGGGTGTGTGTAAGGAAAACCCATCGTGTGTAAGGATTTCCGCTAGTTCTCGGCCTGTCCCCCCTGAGCCTGTCCCCCCTCCGCACTCAAACACCGCCGAGAGTCTGGTAGTTCTCGCGGTGTAAGTGAAGCCCATCGTGTAAGGATGCACGCGGGCACGGCCTGCGTCATGCACCGCGCGGGTGCTGCAGGGCGGGAGCGGGGCGCCCACAAAAGCCAGATTCTTGCAGAAGAGCTCAGAGATGGAGGAGGAGGAGGAAGAGGAGGAGGAGGAGGAGGAGGAGGAGGAGGAGGAGGAGACGAGGCCAGATTCCTGCGACCGGGGAAATGTTGCGTAGAAGGCCGGCCTGCCGCCCGAATCGTCTTTGTTTGCCGCAGACGGTGGAAGTCCAACTTGCCAATGGAAGTCCAACTTGCCATTTCGGAATCCTTGGACGTCAACATTGGCTCAGGATGGGCCGAAGAAGCAGGGATGATGGGTTTGCATTGATGGGGCAGCGCATGCTTACTATGGGTTTTGACTCTAACAGTCAGACCATTGTACGACGGACCCGTCGCAAGAAACCGAGCCCTGGAAAATCGCCGAGGCTTCTTCGGCCAGGGCTGGGCTTCTTGCTCGGCGGCTGCCAGCGAAGAGACCCAGGGGAACCCTGGGCCAAGCGGTGCCTTGATGGCTCGCGCAGAACATCTAAACGTCAAGAAACCCAAGGCGATCATCAACAACAAATCTGAAATTTGAAGGTTTGCATGATCTGAACTTTGTACGAAAGCCACGTCTGATTTGGAAACTAATCGGGGGCCCCATCGTCAATCTAAGCGGAACCTCAGTAGATGCAGGGAACATGCCCATAATGCCCGAGGGGTGCGAAGAACCAATTTCCCAGAAGGCAGCTGACGTCATCAGGAAATCTCTGACAAGCAACGCAAGAAGGCGCAAGCCCTTGGGACGCACAACGCATGCTTTCCTCAGCGGCACTCAACCATCCACATCGGCCCCAAGAACGGGGGCGAGGAGGCAAGGATGCGAGTGCACACTCGGGAACGCCACTCATCCTTAGCCAGTGTGCGGTTGCCAAGCTGATTCCACCTCTCCGGCGCGATGTCATCTCCCCGTCCTCCTCCTCCTCCTCCTCCTCCTCATCCCCCTCCTCCTCCTCCTCCTCCTCCTCCTCCTCCTCCTCCTCCTCCTCCTCCTCCTGCTCCTCTTCCCTCTCCTCCACCTCCTCCTCTTCCTCCACCTCCTCCTCCTCCTCCTCCTCCTCCTCCTCCTCCTCTGGCAGCGTGCAATCTCCACTGCCGAGAGACACACGGTCTGGAACTGAGGCTCCGCGTGCCTTGGCAGGCGGGCCCCTGCGCCACGCTCTGCCTCTGCAATGCTCGGCGTGCCGCTCTGCTGCCTGGAGCGGCCTGCTTCGATACCTCAAACTTGAGGTCGGGCGTGCCCTCCTACAGGGCGATGTTGGAAGGAGATTTAAACCATAGCCAACGCATATGCAAACACTGCCCAGAAGTACTCAGAACATCGTCCCCGGACTATTGTTTGACTGTTTTTGAAGATTCCCCCTGTAGAGGGACACACCCGACTTAACTCTAACTCCTGCTCTGGCGTTGCTGTGCTCATCTTGTGCATGAACAATCCCTGGCCATGCTGCAAGCACTGGCTTTCCCCCTATTCGCCCTGACACAAGAGTCGGCGGCGGCATGTGATGTACCGTGCGAGTGGATGCGCTCTTACAAACCAACTCTCCGTGACAAGTTCGGCTATGACCTGAAAGCCTGGCGCCTCCGTTCGGAAGTGCAAACGCAAATGACATTACATCACGCGGCTCGAGTTTGCAAATGCGCCCTGCATAAAACGACTCGCTCGCGCTCGGGCCCTCTCTCGCAGACTTGACATCGCTTCCTCATTATGTTAAAAAGCCAGAGAACACGGGCCTGTGAAGGTAATTTTCAATTGATCGAGCATCTGCGACAGAAACATCTTGTCGTCGATGAAGCCCTGTAGCACAAGGGAGCAGGCTGCGAGCAGTGTGAGGGATGTTTCGCATAGCAACCAGAGAACGCGTAATCGAACAAGCCCGCTGGCCGTGAGTGGTTTACAGTGGAGGCCAGTCCACAGGAAACCTTCCACAAGAAACCCTACCCTGAGACCCCAGGACGTCCATCGATGTTTGGTGTGGGAACGTCACGCTTTCCATAATAAAACCATGGAAACCAAGAAACCCTGGGCACCCTGGAGGCAAGCACGGTGTTTCTTGGCATGGGTCTCCACTGTAGCCGTCATTCAATTCTGGATGAAAAAACGGTTGGAACACATAGTCCGATTCCGATTGATGTGCGTCTCCCTTTTCGTTGCAATGCTCTGGCCCGCTATACTTCCACAGACACACCATCTGCACATCGTTTTTGGATGGGCTGGCGGGAATGCGCGGCGCGTCAAAACACATCATAGCAGATTGAAATGGCAGAGGTTCTTACCGTATGCCGTTGAACTGCCTCCGCTGTCCAGCATGCCTCTCGAGGTGGCCTTGCCGAGCGCGATGAAAATGTGTTCTTCCAGCGCGCAAGTGTTACACCGTTGGACACTGCCTGACACCGTGTGGGCAAGCATGAGCAATTGCTGCTGAACGAAATGCGACATACAGCGGAGGCCAGTCCACAAGAAACCTTCCACACGAAGCCCAACCCTGAGACCCCAGGACGTCCACCGATTTTTTGGTGTGGCAACGTCACTCTTCTTCCATCGCAAACCCATGGAAACCAAGACACCCAGGGCATCCTGGAGGCAAGCAAGGTGTTTCTTGGCATGGCCTTCCATTGTACCGCACACATGCACGCGGTCATTCTTTGATAGTCGTGACAACTCCGCCAGCATAACCAACGAGCAGACTCGGCTTACGTCGGGCATGTCCTCCTACAGGAAGTTTTCGGAGGAAACCTAAGAAGTAGCCAAAAATGCTCAAACATAGCCACAACTAGTGGAACATCCTCACCAGACGGTGTTTTCCGACTATTTTTGAAAATTCCTTCTGTAGATGTGAGGGGCAACGATAGGGGGGGACTGGCATATGGGGGGGATGCATCGACCTGCAATCGGCGACACATCGCCAATGGATCGGCGATGGGCCCCTGATAGTGAATCCGCATCTTCCTGGGCAGGCTGGGGCTATCGGGCCCCTATCGGCGATCAATGGGCGATTGGGGGGCGATGCATCCCCCCCTATGCTTCAGTCGGGCGTGCACCCCTACAGGCGGATTTCTGGGCGAAAAATTAAACATGCCCCAAGAATACAAAACAAAAATTGTCAAAAAATGGTCCCCACAATACTTTTTGAATCGTTCTGAGTATTCCTCCTCTAGAGGAACAGGCCCGACCGGCTTGTGTACCAGCGAGCCGCGGACTTCACGCGGCTGCACGGGCCAGGCCCTGCTCTCGCACGCTGCCGGGCACGCTGGGGGAGCGAGAGGACCGAGGAAGGGAGGAAAGGAGGAGGGAGGAAGGGAGGAAGGAAGGGAGGAGAAGGAAGAGGAAGAGGAGGAGGATGATGAGGAGGATGAGGAGGAGATTGAGGAGGAGGAGATTGAGGAGGAGGAGGAGGAGAAGGAGGAGGAGGAGGAGGGTGAGGACTGAACGCCATGGGGAACGGGCCCAAAATCGCGGACGGGCCGGTACACCCAAAGTTGGCTTGCTGCATCCTGCGGGCGACGGCAGCGGAGAGCAAACCCTGTGCCGCAGGGGAGAGCAGAAGCAGTTAGACCGGAGCCCAGAGGAGGAGGAGGAGGAGGAGGAGGAGGAGGAGGAGGAGGACAGGAGGAGGGCGGAAGAGGAGGACAAGCCAGAAAACGCAAGACACGAATTCGCCCGAAAAGCGTATCCAGGTCGTGGCTGCCGGCACGATGTCTTACACCCCGGGCTCCAGCCAAGGCTCACGGCCGACACAGTGAGCGAGCTGGCGCATGATGCGCGTTGAAAACATGCGCCGTTCGGTACCCTCGCAGACTCGAACATCAATCGCACCTTCAGCAAATGGAAGCATCCCCCACCACATGATGTATTAAAGGGGCATCGGGGTTCGAGGATCGATAATGGCGGTCCAGGTTCGAGGGTCTACGATCGAGGTCCGAGGAACCAGCACCGAGGACCGAAGTTTGTCTGGCGCTTCTTGGACGCATCCAGGCTCCTGGAGGTGATCGCAGCCATGTGGCGAACGATCCCCAACGGCCGTGGGCGAGGCAGTCCTTCTTGAAGGGGTCGGCGTACCTGAAACACTGCCGCAGGGTGAGGAACTGGCCCTTCATCTCGTGCTGGCGGATGGAGAGCACGTAGTGGTCGTCATCCTGGCGGCGCGCCGTGGCGCGCGCGCGCGCGCTGCAGGCGCGGAGGGAGGGAGCCCGCGAGAGGCACTGGAGACGATGATGCTGATGACCAGGAGGGCGAAGATGAGCAAAAGGGAAAGGAGGAGAAGGAGAGAAGGAGGAGGAGCAGGTGAAGGATCGAAGAATAGGAGGAAGGACTCTGATGGGCCGAGGAGCGAGGATGCACGAATGGGAGGAGGAGAAGGAGGAGGAGGATTGGGAGAAGGAGGAGGAGAAAGAAAAGGAGGAGGAGGGGGGGGAGGAGCAGGAAGAGGAGGAACAGGAAGAGGAGAAGGAGAAGGAGAAGAAGGATGAGGAGAAGGAGGAGCGAACACGGACCGACGATGGAACAGGGAGAAACTGACCCGAGACCGCTGATGTCCTTGCCACGCATGAGGCAACAGAAAACCGAATGCTCCCGCCGCGTCGGCGCAGAAAGGGCGCCCCCTATCAGGACAGCGCGTTTACACTGCGCTGCATCGCAGCGATGGGCTCTGCTGCGCCTTGCGGCAGAGGATGACGGGGAGGAACAGGAGGAGGGGGAAGCAAAACCATAAGAAGGGGGGGGGCGGCAGAGCGCATTCGAGTGCCTTCGCGCCGCCAGTTGGGGGCAGCGCCGCCGCGCGCGCCCCGCACGCGCCACGGCGGCGGGTGCGCGCACCGCGCGGGCGGCCTCAGCCTCAGGCGCGGTCGCGCGCTTGCCGCTTGCCTGTGATCGCCGACCGCGCGGCCGAGGCGTTCCTGCCTCTGCCTCGTCCGCGGGGTGCTGTCGTCGCCCGTCCTCGTGACCGCCCCCGCGCGCTGCGGCCCCTGCATGCAGCCAGGCGGGCGCAGAGCGGTTGCGGAAGCGAGGCTGTCCAGCCTGTCCCTCGGTCCACGCGCGGCGCCGAGCTCTGCGCGGCCTCCTCTCGCGGCCGCATCCGCTGTCCGCGGCGCCTGCCTGCGGCCTGGCGAGCGCGAGGCGGCTGCGCGGTCGCCGGGTCCTCCTCGTCCTGTCGCGGCCTCCGCGCCCGCGACCGCCCCCGCGCGCTGCGGCCCCTGCCTGCGGCCTGGCGGGCGCTGGGCAGCCGCGAAGGGCCCCCCTTGCCTCTGACTCTGGGCGGCGCCGAGCTCGGCGCGGCCCCCTTTCCGGCAGGAAGTCGACCACAGGAAACCTTCCACAAGAAACCCAACCCCGAGACCCCAGGGCGTCCATTGATTTTTGGTATGGGAGCGTCACGCTTCCACAGCTTCCACTGCGCGCGGCCTCCCTCGCGCGCCGCAGCCTCGGCCCGCGGCCGGGCGGGCGCCGGGCGGCCGCGGGCCAAGAGCAGGGCGGCGCCACTCCGCGCCCCGCGCCACGCCGGGGCGGGGGCAAATCCGCGCCCCGCGAAGTGCGGACACGCTCCCGTCGTGGCGGGGCGCCCGCCGCAGACGCCGCCGCGTCGCCCTCGTCGCCCGCGCTGCCTCCAGCGGGCCCTGCTTTCGCCGCTCGGAGCAGGCCTGGGTCAGCGCTGCTCCTCTTCAAATGCGCTGGCCGCGGATAAGCTGTCTGGCTGCTGCTCGCCGCCCTCGGCGTTCTCGTTCGCGTCTGCGTCCGCGAGGCTGCCTGGCTGCTGCGGTGCGCTGTCTGCGCTGTCTGCCTCTGCGAGGGTACCTAACTGCTGCGGTGGCTGGTGTTGCCGCGCTGCCGCCCTCAGCTCCTCGCCCGCCTCAGCGGCTGCGATGGTGGCCAAACTGGCTGGCTGCTGCCCGCAGCCCGCGGTGCACGCGATTGCTGCGCGGTCAGCGCCCGCCGAATTGCCTGGCTGCTGCCGTGGCTGGCGCGGTGCCCCTGCCCGCTGCGCGCCGTCCTCGGCGGTCGCCTCAGCTGAGCTGGCTCCGCTGTCTGGCTGCTGCCGCGGTGGTGTACCCGCCTCCCCTGGGTCTGCAACGCCTCCTCCCCCCCCTCCGCGCGCTGCGTCGGCTCGGTGGAGCCAGGTCGTCCGCGCTCGCAGGCAGCCCTGCCCTGGCGCGGTGCTTGGAACTTCGCGGCGACGAGCTCCTTGGCAGATCCTCGCCGCGCTTCGGAGTCTCCTGGGTCGGTGGCTCCGCGCCGCAGTGCGTGGCCGTGGCGGCAGCTGGCGGCGGCGGCGCCCACCTCCTTACTCGAACCGAGTCGCGATGGTCTCGAAGCTGGCGGCGGGCCCAACTGCCCGCCTGCGCAAAATGGCAAGTTTTGAAATGTTATACGTTGTGCCCGCTGCCAGAAGGCGGGCGCGCTCTGCGCTCCTGCCCTGGCCAATCTGGCCAGACCCTCGGCCCCCGTCGCCCCCCTGCAGTACTTATGGCATTGAAGAGGCCCGAGGCGCGGTAGAAGTCGCCCTCCATGGCGCCGCGCTCGCTAGGCCCCCCTCCTCCTTGTCCAAGCAGGTGCCCGCGGAGGCCGCCGCCAGCGACGCGCCGCAGCTGCCGCGCTGCCCCGACCGGCGCCTGCAAGTGGAACGCGAGGTCTACCGCGCCATCGCCTTCGTCTAGCCCCGCGCCTGGTGGAGCACCGCCGATTGAGCGCGCGGTGCGTCCTGCAGGTCGCCCAGGAAAGCCTCCGCGATCTCGGCGCAGCCACCGCCCTGGCCTTGCGAGTCCCGGGCCCTCTCCCAGAGCAAGAGAATGAGGCTCGCCAGGGGGCCCCCCTTGAGCTGCCGGCGCCCCCTCTGCTCGAGCTCACGCGCGGCGAAGTAGATCTTGGCCCGCGCCTTCCTCATCTGGCGTCGGCGGTCGGGGCCCCCGGCCCAGACCCCGAACCAGTTCTTCAGCGCCGTCATCGCCGAGGCGACGCCTGGGCCGGCGCCCCCCAGCGCCAGGGAAGTGGCGAGGCGCCGTGCTGACCACTGCATCCTCAGAGTCTGCGCGCGCCCCCTCATCGCCGCAATCCTCGCCCAGGGAAACAAGCCGCCATCCGTCCCGCCCTTCGTCCTCTAACTTTCCATGCGCAGCAGCGCTCGCAGGCGCCCCTCATCCTCTTGGAGGTCGCGCTTCGCTCGGCGGCGTCTCAAGCCGCCCTCTCGATCCCGAGGCCGAGGCCCTCTGCGACGGCCTGCCCCTGCACCCGGCGGCGTGGGAGCCCGACGCGAGGATCGCGGCCTTGTCCGCGGGCTTGAGCCCCTGCTTCTCGAGCATCAGGCGCAGCGCGAACGTCGAAATGGTCAGCGCCTGTAGCGCGAGACCCTTGGGCCGCGATGCAGATGCGGCTGCCATCGAACCGGGCTCGCGGCATCGGCGCGGGCAAGGCCGTCGCATGCTCCAGGAGGCGGCCCAGTACGGTGTAGGCGACTGTCTTTGCTATGTGGTTCGAGTACCTCGACCCCGCCAGCAAAGATCTGGCCGACCAGAACGGCGGTGAGAAAACTCCTGTCCAGCGCAGTGCCCGAGCAAACGAGCGCTGTAAACAAATCGCGGTGATCAGTCGCGGGCTGAGTCCCCTGCGAAGCGCTGCCGTCGTGACCAAATCCATCCTCAGGCTGCCGTGGAACTTCCCGATGTACGCCAGCACACTGCCATAGATTTTACCCAACGCATTGAAGAACGATTTGGAGAGACCCGCATCGTGGCCCCCCTCCGGCACCGGATGCCAGTGACGGCCGCGTCCCTGCCCATCTCCTGGCGCTTCTCCACCCTGCGAACTGCACGGCGGCGCAGCAGCTCCCAACAGCGCGCTATCAGAGGGGGGGGGGAGGCCAAAGCCCCGTCGGCCTTGGGCTTGGGCACGAGCATCACCGCCTCCCACGCGCGGCCGCGCCAGCTCCCGCTCGCACCAGTTGAAGAACTCCACGAAACTCAGGTGGCCCTCTGGTGGAAGCATGCGGATGCCCGAGCAGTTCAGCATGTCCATGTTTTTGCCATTGTCGGGCTCTCCTCGTCTAGGTCCTCGAGCGCGCGCTCGTGAAACTCCTCGCTTTGCGCACGCCTCCCCAGGTCCTCCAAGATTGCGTTGTGCTCCGCGTGCTTCAGCTCCTTTCAATTCCAGATCGTTGCGAACGTTTTGCTTTTTCGTCCAGTGTTTCCGTGGGGGCAGTCGATGACGCCTCAGTCCGTCACCGTCTCGTCCTCGCGCCTATGCTTCGGCTTCTTCTGCGGGGGAGCGTGCCCGCCTCCTTCTCCGCCGTCGCGAGCCAGCTGCTGAATCTCGTGGTGTTCTCCTTCAGGCCCCTGCCGACGGCGACCTTCCGCCCCTCTTTTGCCTGCGCCGCCATGTCTCCCAGGATGCTCACGCCCATGCTGTGCAAATTGCGGAGCCACTGCTTCAAAATGTCCTGTGCAGGAGCGCACCCCAGTCGGCGTGTGACCCACGCTTGGGAGGCCATCGTAGGCGAGCTTGCGGCCCACGCCACCTGTCATAAGAAATTGTTGAGCCCGTCCCCTGTCACTCCTCTTGGGTTTCGCCGGCAGGGGGCGAGGTGGAGGTGTAAGATCAGGAGTTAGGTTAGCCAGCTCAAGCGGTACATGCATGGCATGCCCAGTCCCATCCACCCTCCCACAACATACGAAACAATGCTGGCACAGCTGGGGGCCGAGATCCCATCGGCGAGCTAGTTTGACACAGCTGGCTACAGATGGGCATTCCCCAGCTCGTCTGCGCGGGCATTTCAGCACGAGTCGAAGATGCCCCAAGAGGACCCAGGAATATTCAAGAGGGCCCCAAGAACCCCAAGGATGTTTCAGGACACCCCAGGGAGCCTCCGCTGAAGGCCCCAGCGAGTCCTCCCCCAGGAGGCCCCAGGAAGGCCCAGGAGACGCCAGGAGCCCCTCCAGAAAGCCCCAGGAGGTCCAGGAAACCCCAGGAAACCACAGGAAACTTGGCTGGCAAAACGCATCGCGCGCCCAGATCGGCAAGCTGGTATGGCAGAGTTCTTGCGGCCACGATTGCGGTGGCCGATGGGCACTGGCCAAACGCGTCTCAAAGGCCGCGCTAGCGCGCGGGCACCTCGGTGCATGTTGGTGACCCGGGCGGGGGCGATGGCATGATGACGTCGACCACGGTGGCGAGATGACGAGGAGGGCGGTGGCCCGCGATGATGGCGACAACGACGGCAAGGCCAGCGACGGTGCCGATGATGGCGACGCCTCTGGAAGGATTTGGACATGCGCTCGCGGCGACGCACGCGCCCTGGGTGCATGACAGAGCATCGCGACTGCACCGCGCAGCATGATGAGATCGCTTGCTGTTGCACGATAGCATGGGGATCGTATGGTTTTTGTATGTGTTCGCCAATTGCGCGCGGCCATTGAACTTATATATACATATGTAGATTTATAAGGTGTGCATGAGAGAGCGTGATCCACCGCCGCTTTACTGTGGAAAATTGCCAACCTTTTCCTCCGGAACCCGGGGGTTCAGCCCCCCCCCCCCCCCCTCCGAAAATCCCCCCGCCCTGCTGGCCCCTCCCCCCCCCCCCCCCCCCCTCCCCCCGGCAAAACCCCCCCTCCCCTAACCCCCCCCCCCCCCCCCCCCGCTCGAAAACCGGGGGGGGTCCTACCGTTCGACCCCTCCCCCACCCCCCCCCCCTTCGGACCGAAAACTGGGGGGGGTCACTACAGGTTCGAACCCCCCCCCCCCCTCCCCCCCCCGGCCCCCCCCCCCCCCCCCCCCCCCCCCCCCTCCCCTCTCACCGCCAGCAAACGACTCCCGGTCCCTACCACCGTCCTCACCACATCCCCCACTGTTGTTCCCAGCGCCACTGTCCTCACCACCACTGTCCCCACTGGTTCCACCACCGCCCCTACTGTCCCCACCAGTGCCACCACCACTGTCGCACTGTCCCCACTGTCCCCACCACTGTTCCCACCACGGTTCCACTCTCCCAACTTTCTCCACGGCCCCAACCACTGCCCGACTATCCCCACTGTCCCCACTGTCCCACTGACTCCTCCGCTGTCCCACTGAGCTGTCCCACTGTTCCCACCACTGTCCCCACTGTCCCCACCACTGTCCCCACTGTACCTCTGTCCCATTGTCCCACCGCCGTCCTCGCCACCGCCTTCACCACTGTCCCCACCACCATTGTACCCTCCACTGTCCCACTGTTTCCACCTCATTCCCATTGTCCCCACACCACTGTCCCCACCACCACCGTCACCACCACTGTCCACTGTCCCCCCCTGTTCCCACCATTGTCCCCACCACTGTCCCCACCACTACCGTCCCCACCACTGTCCCACCTGTCCCACTGTCCCCACCACTGTCCCGCTATCCCCTCACCACTGTCCCACCAACACCGTCCCCACCTCTGTCCGCACCCCCACTGGGTTTTCGAGAGGGGGGGGGGGGGGGGGGGGGGGGGGGGTGGGGGGGGAAAGGGGTTCCGAACTTTAGTGACCCCCCCCTCCTTTTCATGATGAAGGGGGGGGGGGGGGGGGAGGGGTTCGAACCGGTAGTGACCCCCCCCGGTTTTCAAAAAGGAGGGGGGGGGGGGGGGGGGGGGAGGGGTTCGAACCGGTAGTGACCCCCCCCGGTTTTCCGCCAGCAGCGGTAGAACACGTTCTTTTTTCGCATGTTGAAATGCTTGCAGTCAGCATGTGATTGGTAGGATGTTGGCATGAACGCGCGCGTGTGCACATTGTGATATGTTTTTGCAAAGGGATTGTCGCTGTGGACGACAAGACGTCCACGTTGAGAGGAACATGACGAAACATGTTGGTGATGTAATGTTTTTGGCGGGTTCGGATGGGACGTCCCGGATGGGGCGGCTATCGCCCTGGGAGAGCGGGGAGTAGGAGTATATTCTAACAAGGACTAAGGATACGAGGCGGAGTAGGAGAAGGAGTAGGAGTAGGAGTGGGAGGAGACGGAGGAGGAGGAGGAGGAGGAGGAGGAGGCGAAGGAGGAGAGGAGGAGGCGGAGAGAGGAGGAGAAGAGGAGGAGCAGGAGGACGAGGAGGAGAAGAAGCATCAGCGCTGTGAAAGGGGCAGGGGCGGGTGTGCCTTTAACGGGCACACCTCCTCCCTTGAAGGAGGGACGGAGAGATGATGTGAGGAGAGACGCCTCCTTCTACTTGTCCTCCTCCTCCTCCTCCTCCTCCTCCTCCTCCTCCTCCTCCTCCTCCTCCTCCTCCTCCTCCTCTCCTCCTCTTACTCCTCGCATTCCCCGCTCATCGAGTTCCCCTCCTCGTCCTTCTCTTCCTTTCCCCCACCACCCCCCCCATCCCTGAACCTCCTCCTGTCTCCTCGCTCTCCTCTCCTCTACGCCCTCCCCCCGTCTCCTTCTCCACCTCCTCCTCCTCCTCCTCCTCCTCCTCCTCCTCCTCCTAAACACCATCCGCCTCCCAATCCTGCCAATCCTCCTCCTCTCCCTTCTCCTCTTGTTCCTCCTCGTCCTCCACCTCCTCCTCCTCCTCCTCCTCCTCCTCCGCCTCCTCCTCCGCCTCCTGCAAATCCCAATCCTTGTCGTCCTGCTCCGAACCCCCCTTTGGGCGAAAGTGCCCGCCCCCTCCGGGTGGCACATCTCCACAAAGTGCTCCAGGTTCTTTCTGTAGCACGACAGCCCGAACGAGCAGGGCGGCGGGAACGTCTGGCGGCGACGGCGGTGAAGACGACGGGGGGGTGGGAGAGGACAGAGGAGGCGGATGAAGAAGGGGGGAAGCAGCAGCGGCGGCGGCGGCAGGTGGGGGAGGGACGATACAGTTGTCCAGATCTATCTGAGATGCCTTCCAATTCCTCCAACGATTAAAACAAAGCTTCATCATACCAACCTCTCAGAGCCCCCTGGATGATCCCGAGATGAGCCCGAAGGCCTCCGAGACGCGAGCGAATCCAGTCAGAAACTTGACACATAGCTTGGACTAGGGCACGGCCTAGATCGGCAGCTGCAGGATCCGCAGCCCTGAACGATGCGATGGTCGAGTCTGGGGGCGTCGCGAGCAGCCAGAGCACGTTCACACACATTGAGCAACTTATCACTTTTACTGAATTCCTGAGGGCGTGGAACGGGTCCAAGAAGGGCGGCCACAGACAAACGGAGGCTTACGGAAGCCAGAAAAGGGTAGAGGATGAAGGAGGAGGAGGAGCAGAAGTAGTAGTAGGAGGAGGAGGCGAAGGAGGAAGATGAGAAGGGAGGAGGAGGAGGAGGAGGAGGAGGAGGAGGAGGGGAGAGGAGGAGAGGAGGAAGGAGGAGGAGGAGGAGGAGGAGGAAGGGGAGGAGGAAGAGGAGGAAGAGCACATGGTCTCTCTGAGCGCATGAAATGCTTATCGAAGCTGGCCAGCAAAGCCTTGACAGGCCTGTGTCTCAAGAGGCACGCATCATGCAACATACAGGCGAAAGCCCTGACGGGATGGCAGCCAGGCGCCTTCTCTAAGCTTCAAACGCGGCCAAATTCAGATGCATCCAATTCGCTGCACGCTTAGTCGCATCATCCCCATTTGACACAGCCTGGGCACGTCAGCGTGGCGCCTCGTGCCCAAAGCATCGTGTAAGCGTTCATGGAGTCCGCGAGCCTGAATTCGGATGTGCAGCAGGCGCAAAAAAAAAGCGACGACATCTGCACATACGCACTGCTGCTTGGCCATGCCCATCCTGAACCCGGCAGCGGCGTGTACGCCACGCCCTCCTGGCTTGGCCAAGAGGGCGTACACACAGCTCCTGACCCAGGGAAGGGCCCGTCCAGGGAGCAATGGCTATGTACAGACGTCGTCGCCCGAAAGCACGCCCGGCCACGTGGCCAGGGCAAGCGAAGGACACTGGGGAAACCAAGAGGTACCGATACCGCTGCAGCCAACCCGTATCATGGGGATGCGCGCTAAGGATGTAAGGGCCTCGGAGGGCCATGTTAACGTTTCCCGAGCGAGGCTGGCCAGCAAGAGGTCGCCAAGGATGGGCCGAAGGAGCAAGGATGCACAGGTACCCTCCGGAAGGCTGCCCATCCTCACCATGCGGGTTGGCTGTGCTCCCTGCACCCCTCCCAGGGTGCGCTCGGACTGGAAGTTCGAGGCGAATCCAACGGTGGCGACGCGGGCATGGAGGAGGAGGAAGAGGAGGAGGAGGAGGAGGAGGGGGAGGAGCAGAAGGAGGAGGAGGAGGAGGAGGAGGAGGAGGAGGAGATTCTGCGAGTGTGGCGGTATCGGCCCCTGTTCCTCCTCCAGCACACGGCGCCGCTCCGCGCTGCCGCCACATAGAAGAATAACAAAACCACATGAGCACAAACGTTCGGAGGCCCACGCGGACTTCTTGGATAGACGCTGGACGCCCCTCCTTGGCGCGCAGCGCCGGAGGCTCCGCCGGGGGGGGCCCAGCGCGGATCCAAGAAATCCGCGCGGAGCGCCAGGAGTTTGATGTTTATGCTTTTTTTCTTCGAGAGCGACCCTGGGCAAGAATGACCTTTAGTGCGCGACTTAGCGGGGGACCGCGGGGTGGCCAAACCCGGGCGCGCAAGCCGCTGCTGTACCGCTTCGCGCTCAGCGATCGGGGCACCCCACTGGGCCCGCACCAAACCCAGACCCCCGACGTCATGTTTTTTTCATGACGCGACCCCCAAAGGTCTGGACCATTCCCCGGGACCGGATTTTCATGCTGAGTTGTTTTTAAACGGTCCCGAGGGCCCGGTGAGGGCCCCCAGAAGCCGAAAGTAGCGAAACACCTCCGGCCGAGACGTTTTCAGGACGTGAGGGGGTCTGGGAAGGTCACTCCCGTGAACGGTCACTCCCACGTGCAGTCGGCTTCTTCTTCTTCTTCGAGCCGCCCCGGGCCCCGCCCGAAGGCAGCCAGGCCTGCCGTGGCCGCGCGCCCGGCAGCCCTAAGGCCCATGGCGGGCGCGGGCGACAGCCCACCGCAACACGGGCCGCCCGAGCTCGCCGATGGGGGGCAGCTCGCCGCGCGCCGTGGGCCGCCGGGAGACCACCGATGGGCGCCGCTGGAGGGGCCAGGGCCCCTGACCTTCCAGGAGGGTTAAGATCGGGCCGGGCGAAAGGGGGGGATAGCAAAGGGGGCGGTGTGAGAATCAGCTCTTGTAGCTGATTTTCCCGGCGCCTCCCGGCGCCGGGAGGCGGCCATGTATCACGGAATGGGCCCCTCGGTGGGGCCGAAACCAGCTTCATGCAGCACATTTCGTGACCCCCCTTTCCCGATCCCTTCCTTTCGTCCGGCCCGATGAGAAATAGCACCAGGGCCTCGACATCTCAAGTCCTGTCGAGGTTTTCAGGCAGGCCAGATAGGCCTGTAGGTCTGGAAGGCTATGTTTCAGCACTCTGGGAGGCCAGTGGCGGGGGGGGCGACTCCAGCTGATTCCCAGCGCCGGGAGACGCCCATGCACGGCGCCGGGAGGCGCCCATTTGAAGCACATGGCAAGGCAGAGAAGCCGCTCACGTAGCTGGTTTTCCTGGCGCCTCCTGGCGCCGGGAGGCGCCCGTGTACCGAGGGATGTGTCTGGCGGCAGCGCCGAAACCCAGCTGCAGGTAGCAGACTTCGGCACCCTCCCTTTCCCTATCCTACCCTTTCGCATGGCCCGACGGGGGGGGGACTTTCGACAAGTCGAGTAAGCCGTGCATCCTTTAGGACGCGTGAGCAAAAAGAGAGGTGCGTTTCAGGCACCTTCCGAAACAGACGAGTTCGCACGCCGGGAGCGCGCATACACACGCAAGAAATGACCGTCCCCACTCCGACCCGCCCGGGAATCCTTGGCCCCGTTGGACGACCTGCACCCCAAGCCGGGATAGGTGCCGTCTCCCCCGCTGGACAGCCTGCCCCACCACAAATGAGGACAGGTGCCGGCTCCCTCGGGCCTCGTGGGGCCGCTCCCCGCCTGGGGGCATGCTGGGGAAGCTACCTCGCGCCCCGGCGGGGACGAAAATGGTTCTGGCGATTATGCGGATCACCGGCCAGACATCGGCGAGGCGTCGCCGATAGATCGGCGATATCGGGGATTCATCGGAATCTGATCGGGGCGAGGGATCGAGTCCGAACGGGGGTCGCATCGGGACGCATCTGCTCGGAGTTGGAATCGAAGCGGAGCGGCCGCGTCAAAGATGCACAACAAGACGCCATGCAAACGGGACGCACTGGCGCGTCCCAATGTATGTCGGATTCGAACTGGGTTGGGCTGGCCGGTGCTGACACAGGTCGGTGCCTTAGGAAACGCCAGCTGTGGGGCTCGGGATACGTAGCGCTTCCTCCCTTGAACCAGGGGGGGGGGCGGGATGCCCACCCGGGCCACTCCAACAGTGGGCCAACTCTCCACCACCACTAGCACAGGCAAGGCGGGGGAGAAGGGAGGATGGGGAGGTCCTCCTCCTCCTCCTCCTCCTCCTCCTCAACTCCTCAACTCCTCAACTCCTCCTCCTCCTCCTCCTCCTCCTCCTCCTCCTCCTCCTCCTCCTCCTCCTCCTCCTCCTCCTCTCTCTCTCTCGGCCTGAGGTCACCCCTGATGCGGGCAATACTCGTCCTCCTCCTCCTCCTCCTCTCCTCCTCCTCCTCCTCCTATTCCTCCTCCTCCTCCTCCTCCTTTGCCCCTCCTCCTTCTCCCCCTGCCGCCCTCCCCGCCCCTCCCCTCCTCCTCCTCCTCCTCCTCCCCTCCTCCTCCTCCTCCTCTCCTCCTCCTCCTCCTCCTCCTCCTCCTCCTCCTCTCCTCCTCCTCCTCCATCTTCCTCCCCCTTCTTCTTCCTCCTCCTGACACCATAGGGTGGTCATGTGGTCGTGGTGCTGCGCATATCTGCTGATGTCGCACTGATGCGCAATGTGGTCGCTCGCTCCTCCTCCTCCTCCTCCTCCTCCTCCGCCTCTTCTCCTCTCCTCCCTCCGCCTCCGCCTCTGCCTCCGCCTCCGCCTCGGCACTGCCTCCGCCTCCTCCTCCACCTCCTGCTCCTGCTCCTCCTCCTCCTCTCTCCTCCTCCTCCTCCTCGCTCCTCCTCCGCCTCTCCCCTGCCTCCTCCTTCTCTCCTCCTCCTCCTCCTCCTCCTCCTCCCCGTCCTGCTCCTCTTCCTCCTCCTCCTCATCCTCCTCCTCCTCCTCTTCCTCCCCCCTCTCCTACCGATGGTAGTGGTGGTGGAAAGTCGGCCCATCGCTCAACGCCTCATGCAGGGCGGCGAGCTCTGCGCGTGCACCGTCCGTGAGCAGGCGGCCCATCTCTTGGGCCCCACGATCGGCGAGGGTGACTGCTCCTGGGTCCGGGATTGGCCTGGCCAGTGCCAGTGCATAGTAGGGCTGGACCCAAACGTTGTTGTTCGCTTTGTTTTCGTTTCGTTTTCGTGTTGCCATTCCAGTGTTTCTGCACCTTCCTGCCAAGAACGAAAAACAAAACACAGCAGAAGTCCAGCAAAACAACTTTAAGTCTAATCCTGGCGCATAAACCGTGGCCCCCGCAGGCAGCGGATAGGAATGGCGAGGCGAGGGTCGTCGGCAGTTGGCGGGGGCAGGTGTGAAGGAGAGGAGCCCGCCGCAAGCGCCGACTGCTTAAACACCGCGGGCCCCGCGGCAGGCGCCGTGCTTCACCGCAGTGAGGGCGGGTCCCGCATGGATCTTCGGCGGGTCGCGGGTGGGTCCTGGGCGAGTCGCGGGTGGGTGGCGGGGCAAGTCGTGGGTGGGTCGCAGGCGGGTCGCCGGGCGGGTCGCGGCTGAGCCGCGGGTGGGTCATTGGGCAGGTCGTGGGGCGGGGCGCGGGTGGGTCGCGAGGCGGGGACGGCAAGCGCATGAGTCCGCACTGCGGAATCGCACTCCAGCCGCGCACCCAGGGACAGCGCAAACTGCACTTCGGACCGCTCGGCCCCCCCGCTCTGACGTGCAGCTCTCGCCGCCCGATCGAAGCGGGGCCCCCCTCACTTGGCACGAAAAGAGCGGGCCCTGAGGGAAACAGGTCTTGGACCCCGGAGCCTCCCCCCAGGACCAGAGACTCCATCCCGCGTCGTCTTGCGACGGTCCCAGGGCCCGTGCAGGGCTCAAGGAGCCCGACGACAGCGAACAACCTCAAGGCCCATCTCCTTCGCGACGACCGCACGCCCGCAACCCTGGCCTCCGCGGCGCCCGGACTGGCCTCGGCCCGCTACGGGCACCGCGCGATCGCCTCCGCCTCGGAGCCCTCGGCGCCGGCCGGCGCGGCCCGCGCGGCCTGCGCGCCGAGCGCGGGCCGCTGCCGGCGCACGGCCAGCGGCACGAGCACCAGGAAGGCCAGGGCCGCGGCGGCGCCGGCGGGCGCCGCCCCCGCCCACGACGGCCGCCCGCGCCCGGCGGAGGGCGCGGCAACGCCGCTGAACTCGCGGACGATGGCGGCCTGCGCGCCCTCGGGGCACCAGGCCGCCTGCGGGCCGCAGCCCGCGCAGGCGGTGGCGGAGCCGCAGAGGCCGCCCGCGTCGGACCACGCCGTGTCGAAGCAGGAGCCGCAGGGGTCCGCGGCGTCCGCGCCCGCAAGGCAGCAGAGGCCGGCGCCCTCGGCGGCGGCGCCCGCGGCGCCCCGCCGGCCCCCGCGGCCGCGCTCGGGGCCGCGGCGGCGCCGCTCGGGGCCGCGGCGCCCCTCGGCGGCGCCGCTCGGGGCCGCGGCGCCCTCGGCGGCGACGCTCGGGGCCGCGGCCCCGCCCGCCGCGCTCCTGCGGGCGGCGGCGGCTTTCGCCGCGGCTTCCCTCGCGGCCTTGCCCACCCCGCCGGCATCGGCGGCGGCGGCGGGCGCCTGCCGGGCCGTGCCCGCGGAAGCGGCGTTGGCCTCCTCCGCGGCGGCGGGCTCCGGCTCGTCCTGGTCCGCGGCGGCCTTCGCGGCGGCCTCTCTCAGGGCCGCGCCCGCCTCGCTGCCGAGGAAGGCGGCGGCCGTCGCGGCGGCATCCTCTTTTGACATGCCCGCGGTCGAGGGCAGCTCCTCGGAAGGGGCGGCCGACGTCGAGCTCGGGCTCGCCGTGGCAGCCTCTGTGGTGGCCTTCGTATTGGCCTCCTCCGACGAGGCGGGCGGGCTGTTGCTGCCGCCGCCGCTCGCGCCGCACCACTCCGCCCGAGGGCCGCAGGCGACGCACTCGGCCTCCGACTTGCTGCAGTGGCTGCTCGGTAGGGCCTCTTTAGGAGGGCCAGCTACGACTACCTACCAGACCACCCCAACCCAACCCGAAGACCCGAATCTCGGGCGGGTGGGGGGGGGGGGGGACGGGCTACATGTGTGGTTTTTCCATGTTCCCCGACCCCCCACCGCTACTGGAAATGGAAGGCAAATCGGGGCCTTCAGGTTGGGTTGTGGGTGGGCTGGCGGGTGGTGACGCTGAGACGGCGGCGGCTCTCCCGCCCGCAGCCCACCTGCGCTCAACATCCGCCCCCGCACCCCTCCCAGGGCCCGTCCTGACACGCGATCCGAGGCGGGTCCGGCCGTGGCGACGAGAAGCCTCGCAACACGCCAGGGAAGGCCTCCGATGTCTCAACTTGCCCTGAGCTCCAACGTTGCGAGAAAAAAACACATCACATCGCGAAACACAACAATGACTGGAACCCTGGACCCAACCTGTCTGCCGCACTTGTCATGCCGGGTCGACACGTGCTGGTCCCGGGGCTCGAAACTGGGTGAAAACGCCAGGAGAAAAAGCGTTCCCCTCTGATCTTGCATGCAGCCGCCGCTGTCTCGAGTGGCCCGGCTCTGAGCCTCAGCCAGCATGCTGCAGCTGCCGCAGCCGTCCTCTGCGCCGACGAGGCAGCAGACGCCGCTCGAGGCCGCCGCTGCGGGCCGCAGGAGCGGAAACAACCAGAGGGCGCGGAGCCCCGCGGCAGCTCCTCCGGCAGTGGTCGGCATGGCGGCCAGCGCTTCTTCGGCAGGAGGGCACCAACCTGGGAATTCCATGTGGGACCTGCTCTAGAACAAGAACGTAACCGTAGACGGATCGACCATTTCTGTGACCTTGCACCGCGGCGAACGCAACGGCCATGCTGTCCATGGACGCGCCCCACCCCGAAAGTGTCTATGGACGTCACCGCATCCCATGTGTCCATAGACGCTTTTGGTTAGAACGTGAGAACGGTATTTGGCATCGGCCACAGATGCTGGTCTTCTTGAAGCAGGTCGGCCCATCCAACACCCAACACAAAACCCAGACTTCAAACGTGTTGAAATACTCACAATTGTGCTTGTTGCCCCAGTGCTCGGCCTCGGGGGGTCCTCGCCCGGCCTCGTGGCTACCAGACCACGACGCGGGATCACAAAAAGCTTCGGGGATAGAGGGTCGGGACTCACAGGGACCGCACATGGGACAAAGAACAAGACTAGACACTGACGAGCTACACCGATCCTGGCCTGGTCCACGTGACCACCGCACATTGAACACAAACAAGACATCGGACGTCTGGGCGACTAGACACTGGCAACCTGCACCGATCGTGGCCAGGCCCACGAGAACGTTTTCTCATTCGGCGTTTCGACATTGGACTGAAGGGAGGGGGTGGTGGTCTGGCTGCGGACCTCTGCTTAATGCGACTGCTTGCAACAGTGCGTCCTATCAGGGAGACTCCACCTGCTGGAAACAGGCGCCCAAAACATCCAAGATCTACTCCATGGGATGGGGG